CCCCCCCGCCCCTCTTCCTCCCTTCCGGTCCAGAATCACAGTCCATAAGCAATTATTTCTATTGCTACGGAAACGAGCATATGAAGAAGCGCTCATCCGGAAAGGAACCAAGCGAGGACTGAACTTATTCTCAGCTGTTGAAGTGAAGCAGCTGAATAGTATTCTACCAGAAGTAAATCGAACAAAAACAGATGTAAAGGGGCGAAGCAAAAAAGATGTGCAGAGAGGGCAAGATGGCCGACAACCACAGCGAGCGGAAACGCGGGTAGACCAGAAACGAAGCAAACTCACCTGAAATCAGCGCATTGAAAAGGACAGCTCAGCGCACCTCCTCATCTTCTTCCCACTTCGCGCTGAGGGGAAAACACGCGCCAAGGTTCAACCGCTTCGCCAGGATTGCTGCGCACTTCTCTGGGTGCCGCCATTCTACTCCTCAACATCCCCATCCATTCTACCTCGGGCACTCTCTGGGCCCAATCAGGCACAACGCCGCCAAAATTAACATTCCGCATGGCATCCATGATCGCTGCCCTGCGCGCCAAGGGAATGGGTTCCGAGCGGCGGCGCAGATCCTCCGCCATCGCTGCCTCCATGGCAAGTTCTTGCTGCTCCCTCTTCCTCTCCTGTTCTTCTTCGTCATCATCCTGTGTGTCCCAGGTGTCCACCACCTCCGTTTCCCCCTCCGTCTCTCTCACCCCCACCCCATTCGCTACCCCATTTTCTCTTAGATGGGCCATACTGTACCCCTGCAACAGCTCGGCGCTATTGATTGGAACCCCATTCAAGTATACCTGGCCTATTTCGCTAATTACCCCTGCCATCTCAGCCTGGAAAGCCGCCGAATACCCATTTGCCTCCGCCGCCATCTGATCATCAGCTGATGGCGTCGCAACCCTATCCCGTGTATGGCCATTGCACATCTCCGTCCGACCACCTCCTTCTCTTCCTCCTCCCGCTTGTCCAACAACGTACCGTCCGCTACTCCACATTTCCTCCATAGCAGCAATGGTACTGGACATCGCCGTCGTGACCTGATCCATAGCTGTGTCACTCCCTCTTCTCATCCTTACTTCCCCTTCGTCGAGATCCGAGAATTGCCCAACTCCGTCGTCGTTGCCGGGTTGATCGTCAGAAATGGCCTCATACATACTGCTTGCTACTCTCTGCGCGAAATCCTCATAATCGCTCTCCTCTTCCTCTTCCTCGACATCATCCTCATCATCATCGTCGTCGTCATCATTCCAATCCGCGTCCTCGTTGGCGGGAGGTAAGCACAGTTTGTCTTCATCAACTTTTCGTTCCCTACTGATCGCTGCCTGCTCGTTCCCCACAAGCCCGCCCAAGCCTGCGCCGCCAACTCCGGCCTCAAGCTCCTCCTTTCCCTTTCCCTCCGCACTTCTCGGTCCCCCCCGTCCTTCATTCCTCGACCCGCCGCTGCCGCTGCCGCTGCCGCTGCCGCTGCCGCTGCCGCCGCCGTCGCCGTCGCGATGAAGGCCGGAGGCAGGCAGACTATGCTCCCCTTCTCCCGCCATCGCCGGATATGCCAACGGTCAACCCCCAACTACTTCGTAAGCTAAGCGAAGTTCCTCACGTATGTACGTCTTTCAAAAGCGCAAGGAAACGACAACACGCGGTCTCCATTGCCCGCACGCAGAGCCTCTGAGGGACAGTCTGTGGGCAGGCTCACACTGCGGTACCAAATCCGCATAATTCGCAGCTCGTCAGGGATGCGCTTTCCCCCCAGAGACATTCAACGTTCAACGTCAATTTCAACGTCGGTGGGAGGGTGGGCATTTGAGTTTTTGGGGCCTTGCAAGGGCAAGGAACGCAGGACCGGTAGCTGCGAGTAGGAGGCCGAGGAGGCCGCAGTCCTTTTTCGAAATTGAAACGGTGCGGGTAGTCCTTTTTCGAAATTGAAAAGGTGCAGGTCCTACACGTTGTATTCGAATACAATCTGTACCCTTTCTATTCGGATTTCGAAAAGAAAAAAAAACCTCTTGTATTCCGATAAAACTGCTTCTTCTTTTTGTTGGAGGTCAGCGCCTGCCCTTGAGCTCCCTGCCACTGACATGCTGCAAGCTGCA